CGTAAAATCGTATCCCCTCAGAGTTTGTTCAAGTCCACAAACCTCTGTCTGTGACGGAGCCCCCTCAGACATGGCTACTCTAGTCACTAGCAGATTCCGACAGTGGTTGCTTTCGTAATCGCTTCCAACATAAAAGCTCCTTAACGGAAACACGTCTTCTGGAATCTCTGCGTGACAGTTTCCGGCGAGGAGTGGGTGTTCTTACAGGAGGTCCTGAAACCTCCCCACTGTTTTCGCTGGAAGTGTCTCTGAGCCATCCCTCCAGCTCAGCTCCTCTCCCCTGCTGGTTCCCTCTTCAGCTGCTGCGTCTCTCCCAACCTGTGTGAGCCCTTTCACCTCCCTGCTGGTTCCCTTCAGCTGCTGCGTCTCTCCCAACCTGTGTGAGCCCTTTCACCTCCCTGCTGGTTCCCTCTTCAGCTGCTGCGTCTCTCCCAACCTGTGTGAGCCCTTTCACCTCCCTTCCGTCCGATGGCAGTTCCCTGACATCCACCTCCCCTCCAGGGCCCCCTTCACCCCCTCTCGCCCCTTCCTCTACGGGCGGTGAGGAGGCAAAACCCCGGAATGAACTTCCTTCATCTTCCGATGTCTCGAACACTTCTCTCAACCTGTTGCGGTTCCTGGTCTCAAAGTACACCTCCTCCTCAGAGTCCATCTCCCCTTCCCCTTCCGAGTCCGGGAATCCTTCCAACTCCTCCCCTTCATCAGTGGTCCCAAAGTATTCCCTCCGGAACCTCTCCACAGGCTGAGGTTTCCTTGGGAACCTTTGATGGAACGTTTCTATCAATACCTCGTCATTGATATCTTCAGCCATTACCCAAGTGTTTTCTGACTCCGGTTCTCCTTCCCACGCTACCAAATACTCCACCTGATCCCCCTTCCACCTGGCGTCGAGGATTTCTGCCACATGGCTGCTGCATTCTCTTTCTTCTACGACCGGTCCCCGAGTGGCCAGCCCTTCTCGTCCCCTTCGTACGGTGACAGTAACGACCTGTGAAATACTGGGTGCAGTTTCATGTGGTTGGGTAACCGGAGCCTGAAAGCCACTGGGTTGACCTGTTGAATGACCTCAAAGGGACCCAACCTCCTGGGTCTTAATTTCTTACAACCTCCTTTGAACGGCAACCCTTGGGTTGACAGCCACACCCTATCTCCCACCCTTATGGTTTCACCTTCCCTTCGGTTCTTGTCTGCCTGCCTCTTGTATTCTTCCTTCGCCCTTTCTAAGTTGAGTTGGAGCTGACGATGGATTGCTTCCATTTCTTCCACAAAATGCTCGGCTGCCGGGACGCTCCATCTCTCCCCTCTCCCCTGGGAAAGCCCTGGGATGACACCCATAATTAGCCAAGAAGGGGCTCATCCCTGTGGACACATTCTCGGCATTGTTGTAGGCAAATTCCGCCAGCGCCAACTTTTCTACCCAGTCATTCTCTCTGTCATTGACATAACACCTCAGGTATTGCTGGAGGACACCGTTTGCTCTTTCCGCCTGCCCGTTGGTTTCAGGGTGCCGGGCAGTCGAAAATTGACCTCCACCTGCAGTAAGCTCATGAGCTTCCTCCAGAACCTGGAAGTAAATTGTTTTCCTCGGTCTGAGACCACCCTCAATGGCACCCCGTGCAACCTAAAAATGTTTTCTACAAATAACTTCGCTGTCTCTTCCGCCGTGACTGCATGCGAGCAAGCTACAAAGTGGCACATCTTTGTTAGTAGGTCTACCACCACCATGATGGCTGTTTTCCCTTTGGACTTCGGCAGATCAGTCATAAAATCTATCGACACTGCCTCCCAAGGTCGTTCTGGGGTTGGTAAGGGTTCTAATAGCCCCGCCGGCGCCCGCCTTTCCCCTTTGGCTCGCTGGCATTGCTCGCACCCTCTTACATACTCACGTACATCTCCCTCACCTTAGGCCACCAAAATTCCCTGGTGACCAACCACATGGTTTTGAGTTGTCCAAAATGCCCCGCCGTAGGGCTGTCGTGCAACTGCTTGAGTACCCTCCCCCCTTAACTCTCCTTCAGGGATATACAGTGCCCCTTTGTAATACAAAGCTCCATTTCTTTCCTCGAAACCCCTGGTTCCTCTCCATCACCCCTAAGACCTCTGAGCTTATTCTGGGCGTATTCATCATTCTCTGTTTCCTCTACCAGTTCTCTTTGTCCCACCAATGCCGCCCCACACACCCAGCGGTCCTCTGGAATGACATGTCTCTCTTCGGGTGCCCCTCCCTCCAAATATTCAGGTTTGCGTGAGAGAGCGTCCGCCCTAATGTTCTCTGGGCCTGGCACGTAACTAATCTCAAAGTTAAATTTGGAGAACTCCTGGGCCCATCTCACTTGCCGTTGGTTGAGCACTCGTGCCGTCCTCCAATACTCTAGGTTCTTGTGGTCAGTGCACACTTGCACCTTATGTTGTGCGCCAATTAGCAGGTGCCTCCATCTCCGGAACGCCTCATGAATGGCTAGTAGTTCTCGGTCATACACCGTGTAGTTCCTCTCGGATTTGTTCAGCTTTCGCGACAAAAAGGCACACGGTCTCCACTCTGACCCCTTCTTGCCTGGCTGCAGAAGCACCGCCCCACTCGCTCTGTCTGATGCGTCAGTTTCCACTCTCATCGGTTTTTGTAAATCCACATGCAGGAGTTGTTGTTCCGAGGCGAAGGCCCTTTTAGTTCCTCAAATGCTCGCTCCGCCTCCTCAGTCCACACGAACTTCTTCTTACTGCTGAGACAGTCCGTAATGGGCGCCGTCAGGTGGGCAAAGTTTCGGATGAACTTACGATAGAAGTTCCCAAATCCTAGGAACCTCTGCACATCCTTCTTTGTTTTGGGTGTTTTCCATTCCAGCACCGCCTGGACCTTGCCGGGATCCATGGCCAATCCCTTGTCTGACAGGCGATACCCCAGGAATTCCACCTCCTTGGTATGAAACTGACACTTCTCCAGTTTCACCCACAGCAGGCTGGCTTGCAGCCTGCTCAACACTTCTCTGACGTCTCTCACATGCTGCTCCTCATTCTCAGAATACACCAACACGTCGTCTAAAAAGGCCACACAATTCTTGTAAAGCAAAGGCCCCAGGACGTGGTTCATAAACGATTGAAATGTTGCGGAGCCTGCTTGTAGGCCGAAGGGCATAACCAAATATTCAAATGCCCCTAAAGGGGTGAACATAGTGGTTTTCCATTCATCCCCTTTCCTTATTCGTACCAGGTTGTACGCCCCCCTTAGGTCCAGCTTTGTGAAAATCTTTCCCTTCCGCACCCTTGTCAAAATGTCGTCAATCCTGGGCATAGGGAAGGCTACTGGTTCTGACACTGCATTTAAGGCCCTGAAGTCACACACCAGCCTCGGCTTGTTCGTGTTTTTCTTATCCACAAAAACACTGGGCTGCCCCCACCGCCCTGGACTCTCTGATGAACCCTCTCTTCAGGTTCTTGTCAATGAACTCTCTTAACTCCTGCATCTCTCTGTCTGACATGGCGTACAGCTTGCCTACAGGGAGCTGTGCTCCAGGGAGTAAGTTGATTTGACAGTCAAAGGGTCGAGGCGGGGGTAGTTGGTCAGCTTCCCTTTCGCTGAAGACGTCACGGAGATCTGCATATTGTCGTGGTACCTTCACGTTCTCTGTTACTTCAGTCCCTGCTAGGGTGGCTTGGACCCCTGCCAAACCCTTCCCTCTTTGCAGTGTTCTAAGCAATGTGCTGAACCAAAAGAAACCACTCTCTGATGCCAGCCCACCAGCGGATCATGTAACGCTAGCCAGCTCATCCCCAATATAATGGGAGCTCCTCCCAAGGTGGCCACATTAAAAGCTATCAGTTCGGTGTGCCTTGCTACCTTCATTATCATTGGGACGGTCTGCAAGCTGACTTCTCCACCCAACAGCTCCCTGCCATCGATCGTGGTCACCTGCAAGGGGCTGCTTAAAGGGATTGTCTGTATCTGGTGTTCAGCTGCAAACTCTTTGCTCATGAAATTGCAGGAGCTGCCTGAGTCCAACAGCGCCTTTATCTTTAGAGGGTGTCCGTTTGGCAGCTCTAGCGTCACTTCTATCACTAGGGCGGGTTTAGGAGGTTCTGGCGTGGGCACTCTCACTGCTCTTTGGCCTGGCTGCTGTGCCCTGACAGTGGCAGCCAGGCGTTGGCTTTACTTGCTCCGGTATTTTTCCTCTCTTCCATCCACAGCTCCTACCATCCCTTGCCATTCTTTCCTCTGGGGGCAGACTCTGGCAAAGTGACCTGGCTGTTGGCAGAGATAGCATTTCCGGGCGCCTTTTCCCTCCTTCTTTGCCCCCTCACTGGGCTTTGAAACCAGGCGCGCGCGCTGTTCCGATTTCCATCGGCTCTGCCGGTGGGAAAGTTGGCTCTGGAATGTCTGGAATGCGGAACTCCTTCCAACGTTCCCCTTCCCTTCCCGCCTCTCCAATGCTCTCGCTCCTGGCGCGCTCCTATGGCCAGCGCTGATTTGGTCAGCTGGTCCATAGACTCCGCCCTGGGCGCCCGGGAAAGTTCGTCTTTCACAGCCGAAGAAAGCCCTTCTTCAAAGAGCATTTGAATGGGTTCCGCCGATAAGTCCCACCCCAATCTGTGAACAAGCATGGTGAACTCAGTCCAGTACTCACGGACAGATCGGCTCCCTGTTTGCAACCCATTAACTGTCTGCGCACCACTCCCTTTTCAATATCGCTGGAAAACATCAGATCCATGGCGCGAAAGAACTTCATCGTGTCCTTTAAGACGTCACTATTAGCTGCCATCAGGGGTCTAACCCAGTCTCTCGCCCCTTTTCAAGATGCTCAATCACGAAAGCCACTCGTGATTCCTCGTCAGGGAATTCATCAAACTGCAGATTGAGGGCATATTGCATTTCTGTCCGAAAACCATGATAGTTTTTGGGCTCCCCAAACTTCTGCACCAATCCTGGTACCTTTCTGGCGAACTGGGTGGCTTTCCCTTTTGTCTGCATCCTGAGCCCTCCTCTCCTCAAGCCTCGCCGTCTGCATCGCTAGCTGGACCTCCAACATCTGGTACCTTTCTTCCAGGCTTGGACCCGCTCCAGCTCCTGCTTCTCCGGTTCCGGCTGGGTTGCTCATGATGCCTTCTCCTGCACAAGCTGCTTTCAAAGACTGTCGGAATGCTGTGATGGGATGATGAGCTGCTTGTGCGTAAAATCGTATCCCCTCAGAGTTTGTTCAAGTCCACAAACCTCTGTCTGTGACGGAGCCCTCAGACATGGCTACTCTAGTCACTAGCAGATTCCGACAGTGGTTGCTTTCGTAATCGCTTCCAACATAAAAGCTCCTTAACGGAAACACGTCTTCTGGAATCTCTGCGTGACAGTTTCCGGCGAGGAGTGGGTGTTCTTACAGGAGGTCCTGAAACCTCCCCACTGTTTTCGCTGGAAGTGTCTCTGAGCCATCCCTCCAGCTCAGCTCCTCTCCCCTGCTGGTTCCCTCTTCAGCTGCTGCGTCTCTCCCAACCTGTGTGAGCCCTTTCACCTCCCTGCTGGTTCCCTCTTCAGCTGCTGCGTCTCTCCCAACCTGTGTGAGCCCTTTCACCTCCCTGCTGGTTCCCTCTTCAGCTGCTGCGTCTCTCCCAACCTGTGTGAGCCCTTTCACCTCCCTTCCGTCCGATGGCAGTTCCCTGACAGTATCATACGATTTTAACTCTTTAACTGGAGTATGTGGAGATGGCGAAACTGACGGGGAAGATCCGAAACAAGGAAGATCAAGTATTTGAGTAAATTTGTAATTTATTTAAAGGACCACTGTAAACAAGCAAGACCTTGCACACACAGAGATGTATCTCAACGCTGCTAATTTTAACATGTTGGCTGTTTTTATTTTAATTTTGCTGTGGAATTTATTTTTAATTTACAATTTTAACATTGCTAGTAAACCACTGAAATGTTTTCTTACCATAGAGCGGCATGTAAATATTATTATTAAATCCCTCCCACCCCATGTATTTTTGTGGAGGCTTTTTATGTGTGGAACGCTTGCAATAGGGACTCCTTCCCAGCCAAAATGTGGGGTGAAATAAGGAGCTCTTGCATAGAAAGATGGAATTGAAAGTTGCAAGGGACCCCAAGGGCAATCTCGTCCAACGCCCTGCAATTCAAGAACCTCAACTTAAAGCATCCATGACTGATGATAATAATAATATTAATAATAATTTATTATTTATACCCCCCCACCCATCTGGCTGGGTTTCCCAGCCACTCTGGGCGGCTTCAACCGAATATTAAAAACAACACAGCGTCAGACACTTAAAACTTCCCTAAACAGGGCCGCCTTCAGTTGTCTTTTTTTAAAAAAAGTTTTTTATTTATACAACAAGAAAAACACACACACACAAATACCAAATTACACACAAATTACAAAAATAACCATAGGCACATAATTTTCTTAGCAAACAATAAAACATCTATTGGTCTTAACACTAAAGACCCAACCTCCCATCTATTCCATATTTCAAATTCATATTACTTTTTGCCAGTATACGCTTTTATCATAATTAAACTTATTCTCAAAAAATCTAATTTCTTATATCTACCTTGTGAGTATTACTGAAGTTCCTCGAATGCTGCAACAGAATTTAAACTACTATATTTATTTTTCAGATAATCTTTGAAAACCTCCCATTTTGAAACAAATTCCTGTTTTGATTTATTCTTTATTTTTTCTGATAAACCATCTAATTCAACATATTCTGTCAGCTTTTGGATCCAATCTTGTATAGAGGGGATTTCATTACTCTTCCATTTTGCTGTGATCAAAACTCTTGCTGCCGCCGTCGCATATAAAAAGATACCCTTCCTCTTTTGTGGAATATCCAAATCTGTTATTCCCAGGTAGGCAGGCCTCTGGTTTTTTATTGAAAGAGATCTTTAGCATTTTTTGCAGTTCTACATGGATACTCTCCCAGAATACCTGTATTTTCCTACATATCCACCATATACGGTAGAATGTTCCTGAGTCTCCGCATCTCCAACACTGACACATTTTTATACATTTTTGAAAGTTTCCATGGTGTTAGATATCATCGGTGTTGTATTTTTTGAAAGTTCTCTCTAATCGTGTAACAATTTGTGAATTTCCAATTGATCTCCCATAAATTTTCCCACTGGGCCTTTTAAAAGTAGAATAGTTGTTTATTTCCCTGACATCTGCTGGGAGGGTGTTCCACAGGGCGGGCGCCACCACCAAGAAGGCCCTCTGCCTGGTTCCCTGTAACTCAGCTTGAGCTGAGCTTCCTGCCTGGCAGGGGCTGGACTAGATGCCCCTCAGGCTCCCTTCCAGACTCTCCCATGCTCAGTTGCTCTCGGATCTCCTCTCGTCTCCTCTTTCCCAGGCTCAACATCCCCAGCTCCTTCCTTGGGCTTCTTCTTCTCTCCTCCCGGCTGCTCCTCCTCCTGCTTCTGGCCTGGGCTGGGGGCACTTCAGGTGGTCTCCCAAAGGAAGCATCTCACCGCCAGTGGAAACAGGACAATGCACGGGATCTCCTTCTTGCTAGGGTTTTACAGGCTGCCTTTCTGCATGTCTGGGGCTTGTGTAAAGGCGGAAGGGAAACGGTCGGGCTCCTTGTCCTGGCCTTAGTTCGAGGCTGGGGGGGGGGGGCTCGGGATTTTGGGGGAGTCGTCTAACTGCCCAGGGGGGGAGAGAGCGGCAGGCGGGGGGGGAGGGAGGGAGGTTTCTGCCGAGGGTGGAGGTCCCTCCGTCAGGGATGCTAGAGCTGAGCTTCCTGCCTGGCGGGGGGTGGACTAGATGACCCCCGGGCTCCCTTCCAGACTCTCCTACGTGAGGGGTCCCCTGCTTCTTGGGGGGGGGTCTCCCAAAAGAAGCACGTGGTTCCTTCTTTGGAGGAGGCGGTTCCGCTCGGCTTGCCAAGGGTTAAAAGCAGCCGAGCTGGATTCCTAGAGAGGACCGGAAGTGGCGTCTGGGGGGGCAGGTCCTCCCTGGCCCAGGCCCCTCCCTGGCCGGCCCCCCTTCTGCCCGCCGAGGGGCTGCTCGGTCTCCCTCTCGGGGTGAGTCTCGCCGTGGGGAGAAGGGGGGGCGGGGGGGGCTGGTCAGATCCTGCAGGGGGGGAGGCCCAAATCGGGGGGGGGCGAGGGGGCCAGGGCTCTGCCCCCTGGGGGAGGGAGGGGTGGGGGGGAGGCTGCGGGTAATAATAATAATATTTTTTTATTTATACCCCGCCCTTCCTGGTTCAAAAACGGGGCTCGGGGCGGCAAACAGCCAATTTAAAACACTGCACTTTAATGTTTTAATGTTGTATTTTAATCTGGTTCCTTCAACTTGTTTTTATGATTGGTTGTTAGCCGCCCTGAGCCGGGCCTTGGCTGAGGAGGGCGCGCCATAAACAAAAACTATTGTTGTTATTAATGATAAAAGCAGCATGAAATACAGTATAAAAAACACGAATAACGATAAAATTCAGAAATAGTCAAAATTAGATGATCCCCAGGGCCAGCTGGCTGCGTTGAGGCCGGGGCTCTCGGAGCCGGGGAGGGAAGGGAAAGAAAAGACCGGGCTGAATTCGAATTCAAGGCCCGGCGGAAGGAGGTTCAGTCCTGAGGCCGAAGCCCCGCGCGCTCCCCTCCTGCCCCGCCACGCGGCTTCTCTGGCTCCGCCGCCGCCCCAGGTCTCGCCGTGGAGGCAGGAGAGGCCTCCGGAACGGCAAAACAACCCCGTGACGGGGCAGCTTTTCTGGCTGGGAAGAGAAATCAGGCGGGGGGGGGGCAGCCCCTCCCCAGTGCTGAGAGTGGGAGGGAGAGACCCTCCACCCCCCCCATTCTCCGGCCTGAGATACAGATTCCTAGTTCCCTGACAATAATGATAATAATGATAATAATTTATTTATACTCCACCCGTCCGGCTGGGTTGTGTGTTTGTGTGTGTAACGTGTGTGTGTACCTTAAGCTAGAATGATTAACTTTGGCACAATTCTGCATATAAGAAACTTCACTCTCTCTCTGTTTTTTTTATAATAATAAATTTTATTTATACCCCGCCCTCCCCAGCCAGAGCCAGGCTCAGGGCAACTAATGCCAATAAAATTACAGTGGTACTTCAGGTTACGGACTCCGCTAACCCAGAAATAGTACCTCGGGTTAAGAACTTTGCTTCAGGATGAGAACAGAAATCGTGCTCCAGCGGCGCAGCAGCCACAGGAGGCCCCATTAGCTAAAGTGGTACCTCAGGTTAAGAACAGTTTCAGATGAAGAACGGACCTCCACTGTGAGGAAATTAAGAATTTTTTTGATAGTAGTACATGAAGAACTAAAGAAGGTGTTGAAAATACCAATAACAAAGAAACCAGAGACATATCTCCTTGGATTGATAGATGAAGAGATACCATGGCGGGGGGGGGGGGAGAAGAATTTTTCTATACCTGTACAGTAAAATCATAATGGGGGGGACGGGACCCAATTTAAAATACAGGTTAAAATGCAATTTTAAATGCAGCCTCATTTTAAAAGTCAAAACCGTAAGGGGAGGGAAACATAAGGGTCAGACCGAGTCCAAACCAAAGGCCAGGCGGAACAGCTCTGTCTTACAGGCCCGGCGGAAGGAGGTTAAATCCCGCAGGGCCCTAGTCTCTTGTGACAGAGCATTCCACCAAGCCGGGGCCAGTACTGAGAAGGCCCTGGCCCTAGTTGAAACCAGTCTAACCTCCTTGTGACTTGGGACCTCCAAAGTGTTGTCATTTGTGGACCTTTAGGTCCTCTGCGAGGGGTTGGCAAGAAGGGTGGATGCGTAAAACACTCTGGAATTGTAGCTTTGAGGCTGGGAGGGGGGGTGGGGGGTCTCCTGCCAACTCTCTCATGCCAACTTCTTTGCAGGAAGTCAGGACTTTTAAAAGTGGCCTGATCCAGCTTTGCAAGTGGCAGGGGTGTGTGGGTGTGGGTGTGTTGTCTCTTTCCTTTGTTTTTGGAATATTTCAATATAGAAGTTTTTAAATGGGTTGAAACAAAATTTTAAAAAAATCCTTCCAGTTCCAGTAGCACCTTAGAGACCAACTAAGTTTGTTATTGGTATGAGCTTTCGTGTGCATGCACACTTCTTCAGATACATCGTGCATGCACAATTCATGCAAGTACACAAAAGCTCATACCAATAACAAACTTAGTTGGTCTCTAAGGTGCTACTGGAAGGAATTTTTATTTTTTATCTTGTTTCGACTACGGCAGACCAACACGGCGACCTACCTGTAACTTTATATGGGTTGTTATAATTTCTCGTATTTCTATGGCTGCATCTATTCCCCAGGGCGGGTTACAACCATTTTACAATTCCGTATTAAAAAGAGTTAAAACCAAGGACAGTCACAGGAAATGGCTGGGTCATGAAAACACATTTCTCAGGTGCCCAAGGCTTCATTAAGGAGTGGAAGGTGAGCAATTGAGGAAAGGGAATTTCCCAACCAAGGATTCGCCACCAAGATGCCCTGAGATAACAACAACAACAACAACAACAACAATAATAATAATTATTCCCCAGCCACTCTGGACGGCTTCCAACCAAATATTAAAATACAATAATTCATCAAACATTAAAAGCTTCCCTAAACAGGGCTGCCTTCAGATGTCTTCTAAAAGTCTGGTAGTTGTTTATCTCTTTGACATCTGATGGGAGGGCATTCCACAGGGTGGGCGCCACTGCAGAGAAGGCCCTCTGCCTGGTTCCCTGTAACTTGGCTTCTCGCAGTGAGGGGAACTGCCAGAAGGCCCTTGGAACTGGACCTCAGTGTCCGGGTAGAACGATGGGGGTGGAGACGCTCCTTCAGGTATACTGGGCCTTTGAGGCCGTTTAGGGCTTGAAAGGTCAGCACCAACACTTTCAATTGTGCTCGGAAACGTATTGGGAGCCAGTGCAGGTCTTTCAAGACCAGTATTATATGGTCTCGGCGGCTGCTCCCAGTCCCCAGTCTAGCTGTCGCATTCTGGATCAGTTGTAGCTTCGGGGTCACCTTCAAAGGTAGCCCCACATAGAGCGCATTGCAGTAGTCCAAGTGGGAGATAACCAGAGCATGCACCACTCTGGCCAGACAATTCGCGGTCAGGGTGGGTCTCATCCTGCGTACCAGATGGAGCTGGTAGACAGCTGCCCTGGACACAGAATTAACCTGCGCCTCCATGGACAGCTGGGAGTCCAAAATGACTCCCAGGCTGCGCACCTGGTCCTTCAGGGGCACAGTTACCCAGAGATCATTGACCAGTGCGACCAAGGCGTGAGAGGGAAGGAAGGAGGCGGCCATTAGGAGTTCTTTTTACAAGCCCACCACATATGAAAAAAAATGTTCCTTCTGCCGTTTTACACTTCCGAAACATGCTTGCATTAGCTTTGTACATTTTGGGCAACTTATTTGGTGTTAAATACCATCTACAAATCAGCTTCAGATAGTTTTCTCTTAAAGTGTAACAAGGAGCACATCTTCCACAACTTCTCTCATGAAGACACTTTTATATTACGTCCCACATCTCATTGCCGCTTTCACCATTTCACCCTTAGTTTCCCATTCCAGAAGTCTTTTATCCATCTTAGAAATCAATCTTCTTATAACCCCCTTTCAAAAACAGAGCTTTACTCGCTTTGGGTTGTGCCATTTCGGGTTGCGCACTGCACCAAACCCGCAAGTACAGGAACGGGTTACTTCCGGGTTTCGGCACTTGTGCATGTGCAGAAGCGCTAAATCGCACTTTGTGCATGCACAGAAGCACCGAATCGTGACCTGCGCGTGTGTAAATGCAACGCTGTGGGCTGTGGACACTGCGGGTCGCAAACGTGCTTTCCGCACGGATCATGTTCGCAACCCGAGCGTCCACTGTAGTCTAGTGATGCTTCATAATACAGTCTTAAATTTGACCGTGCCAGTCCACCTTTCTTTAATATCTGTTAATATTTTATGCTTAATTCTGGGCTTCTTCCCCTGCCAGGTAAACTTTGAGATCTCCTTTGTTTGAACCATCCTGCATAAATTACTGTCGGGTTTGTCTGGAATAAAAACAACATTTTAGGCAAAAGGTTCATCTTAATTGCATAAATTATTCCTTGCAGTGAGAGTTTAATTCTCCCCCATCTTTCAAAATCCTTTTTTACTTTGCTCCATACTACAACATAATTACCATGAAATAAATTTGGTCACTTTCCTTCTGGCAGGGCTAGAGGCTTACTTTTCTTCCTTCCTTCTGTCGTTATTGTTTTTGTTTTAATTAAAAAAAGAGCTCAGAATCTGGGCTGTGGTCTGCTTCAGCCCTGGTTCCTAGGGAATGTTCTCTCCTCCTGACCGTGATTCAATTTTATAACAGAACAATGGATTTGTTTTGTCCGAATTGCTAGCACCTCCAATTTCAACAGGTGGAACGTGGCAGAAGACTAAGGGGCTCCTTCTCATCTCTTGGAGACTTCCTAAGAGCAGAGATGGATGAGCAAGACTCAGCTGGCCCTGAAGCGGGCAGAAGCCAAGCCGTCCAAACTGAGAGCAGTGGGGGATTCTGGGAAAACTCCATGCAGAAGATCCTGGGTGAGGAGGACACTCTCTGCTCAGATGTGCAGAGCCAGAAGGTCTGGAAGTTCTGCTGCCAGGAGGCTGAAGGACCCCGAGAAGTTTGCCGCCAGTTCCACCAACTAGACCATCAGTGGCTGAAGCCAGAAAGGCACACGAAAGCTGAGATGGTGGACCTGGTGATCTTGGAGCAGTTCCTGGCTGTCCTTCCCCCAGAGATGGAGAGCTGGGTGAGGGAATGTGGAGCAGAGACCACTTCCCAGGCGGTGGCCCTGGCTGAAGGTTTCCTCCTGAGTCAGGCAGAGGAGAGGAAGAAGGCAGAGCAGCAGGTGAGAGAGACTTTCCTCTGGATACTCCCAAGGGGCTCCAAACCAGAGCAAGAGTATCCCAAAATGTGGTACTAATGTCCCATCCCTTTATGGATCGGATCCAAGGAATGCGATCTGGTACCCCTAGAGTGTTTGCCTCTACCATTGCTTTTCTAATCCCCCTTCCCATTTTGTTTTGAATCTTTGTTGCTCTTTCAGGTTCAGGATCTGTTGACAGAAATGGGCCCCGATTCCTCTGAGGCAGAGAGGACTCCGTTGGACACCAGAGAGTGGCCGCTGGGTAAGGAAGAATGAGCTTTTTCTGTGTGTGGTCACATTTTGTTGATTTTGAAACTAATCCGCGGGTTCTTTTCATCCTTTTCGCGGGGGCGGGGTGGAGACATTTAGGGCCAAGAGCTCAGAGGTTTATTTTTACACGACAAAATGTGAAAAGGGTACAAATGCCAAAATGCCCTCTGTAGGTGACACTTTTTCTAAGGCACTTAAGAGATGCTCTGCTTCACCCCCCAAGAGAAGCGTGGAGTCATGGCTTCTCACTTGCCTCTCTCTCGCAGGTGAGGGAACGATGTTGGTAAGACCTCTTCTTCCGTCTTTTCATGGTGGTGAAGGGGATGCAGCAGAATCGGAACCAGATCAGGTAATAATAATAATAATATTTTTTTTTTATACCCTGCCCTCCCCGGCCAGAGCTGGGCTCAGGGTGGCTAACACCAATAAAATCACAGGAAAAACATAATGGGGAAAGATGGGGGGGAGGGGAGAAAACCCCAATTTAAAATACGGGTTAAAATGCAATTTAAAATGCAGCCTCCTTTTAAAGTAGCTGATAAATCAAGACCATAAGGGGAGGGAAACATAAAGGTCAGAGTGAGTCCAAGCCAAAGTCCAGGCGGAACAGCTCCATCTTGCAGGCCCAGCGGAAAGATGTCAAGTCCCGCAGGGCCCTGGTCTCTTGGGACAGAGCGTTCCACCACATTGCGGCCAGTGCTGAAAAGGCCCTGGCCCTAGTTGAGACCAGTCTAACCTCCTTGAGGCTCAGGACATCCAAAGTGTTGTTATTTGTTAAGGTCCTCCGTGGGGCATACCCGGAGAGGCGGTCCCGTAGGTAGTAGGGGGAAGGAGACTGAGGGGCGTCAGGATGCTGTCAGTGGCTCCTGGCTGGTTGCTCAAGAAAGAATAAAGACAAGGGAAAGTTTCTTACAGTCCTTACGGAGAGAGGCTATAGAACCCAGCCTCTTGGATAATAAAAGTAACAATAAAAGTAACACAGCATTCTAAAATCAATATTCAAAAATCAATTCAAAATCAAATTCATGGCAACCACTGGTCCAGAGTTCTATGAGGATCACCAAAGGAGGGGGTGAGACTGTGCCTTGGCCAAAGGCCTGGTGGAACAGCTCTGTCTTGCAGGCCCTGAAGAAAGATGTCAAGTCCCGTAGGGCCCTAGTCTCTTGTGACAGAGCGTTCCACCAGATCGGGGCCACAGCCGAAAAGGCCCTGGCTCTGGTTGAGGCCAGCCTAACCTCCCTGTGGCCCTGGACCTCCAAGATGTTTTTGTTTGAAGACCGTAAGGTCCCCCATGCGACATACTAGGAGAGGTGGTCCCGTAGGTACGAGGGTCCTAGGCCGTATAGGGCTTTAAAGGTTAAAACCAGCGCCTTAAACCTGCTCCTGTACTCCACCGGGAGCCAGTTCAGCTGGTATAGGACCGGGTGAATGTGATCCCGCAGCGAGGACCCCGTAAGGGGGGAAATGCCATTGTCAGGCTGGCAGGAGTTGACCAGCAAGAATTATGGACAAACTCCTCCTCCAGCCTCTGTCTCTCAGCTTCACAGTCAAGGGAGAACCAAGAAAAATAACCAACCAGCCCCCAGCTGCCAATTGCCAACTGTCCAATCCTTACCCTAATACAGTGGCACCTCGGGTTACAGACGCTTCAGGTTACAGACTCCGCTAACCCAGAAATATTACCTCGGGTTAAGAACTTTGCTTCAAGATGAGAACAGAAAGTGTGGCATGGCAGCGTCAGCGGGAGGCCCCATTAGCTAAAGTGGTGCTTCAGGTTAAGAACAGTTTCAGGTTAAGAAAGGACCTCCACTGTGAGGAAATTAAGAAATTTTGGATGGTAGTACATGAAGAACTAAAGAAGATGTTGAAAACATCAATAACAAAGAAACCAGAGACATATCTCCTTGGATTGAGAGTTGATGAGATACCACGGGGGGGGGGGGGGGAATTTTTCTATATACAAGTACAGCTGCTAGAATAGTGATTGCTGCTAGGTGGAAGTCACAAACTATACCCACAAAGGAGGAATGGATTTGTAAACTAAATGAATATTTAATCCTGGCAAAACTAACTGGCATAATAAGAAATCAGTTTAAAAAGGAGTGGAAATGTTTTGATGAATATATGGCAAAATATTGCTGGAAAAAAGATACGCTAATATGCCTAGATTAAAATGTGAAGTACTGGATGGAAGAAAAATTAGTAATGAAAGATAATAATAATATATAGATGATTTGAGAAGATTGTAGAATGCAAAGATTATTGTAAATTGTATAATGTGGAGGAAATCGAATAGGGGCGGAGGGAAGTGGGAGGAAGGAGAAAAGGATAATATGTTGGATTGAAGAAATAGAAATGTAAATGTATGGGGGGGATGGGGAGGAAATGGTGTTGGCTTTGGTACATCTGTATTGTAATGCAATATGTGAAAACCAATAAATAAATATTAAAAAAAGGAATGGACCTCCAGATCGAATTGAGTTCTTAACCAGAGGTACCACCGATTCTCTGCAAAATGCCTTCCCAGTGACATTGCATTAGAAATACTAACACGAGGCAGTTGACAAACCATAGAAAACAGCGGCCACGATTCACCTAACCAGCCCCATCAGTTGCACAGCGGGGCTTTCTGCACTCTCCTCCCCCTCCCTGGGCTCTCATGTGCTCCTTGAAGTTGGTTTTAGGGCATCAGGTGGTGCACCGGGAGAGTAGAGAAGGGATCTTTCCGTCTCCCAAACGGGAATGCTTGAGCAGACAGAATGATTTGAAGAAGAACACCGTGTGGAGTTCCACCCATTTGCCCAAAGATTAAGACCCATCCTTAAAAGGAAGAGAAGACGTCACCTTAAACTCCCGTAATTGAAACGTACAGCAGTACAATCCCATCAAAACAAGAGAGCAATTAACAAGCAGAAAACAATGTCTAGCAGATCATCCTTACGCTGCCTAATAGAAGACCTTTTTTCTTTTTCTTTCAGGGTCCGGTGAGCTTTGAAGATGTCGCTGTCCACTTCACAGACGAGGAATGGGAGTTGCTGGACCCTGACCAGAGAGCTCTGCATACGGAGGTCATGGACGAGAATCGTGAGATCCTGGACTCTCTCCGTAAGGCTTTCTGCTGGATCATAATATCTGTTTTGAAATTGCATGTGTATCTCTATGTGATAAACCACCAATATTTTGATGGAGCTCAACAAGCCTCTGGGATTCTAACATCCCCACCGTGAACCCTGAATGGAGGGATTTACTCTGTGAATATTCTTCCTCCATTATCATCATCATTCAATGTCTATGCTGCGTTTCCACAGTTAAAACAAAGCTCAAGGCGGCTTACAATATGAAAAGATTTGCATAATTACAAATATATCAAAGTAGTCATGTTGTTGTTGTTTAGTCGTTTCGTCGTGTCCGCCTCTTCGTGACTCCATGGACCAGAGCACGCCAGGCACTCCTGTCTTCCACTGCCTCCCGCAGTTTGGTCAGACTCATGTTTGTCGCTTCGAGAACACTGTCCCACCATCTCGTCCTCTGTCGTCCCCTTCTCCTTGTGCCCTCCATCTTTCCCAATATCAGGGTCTTTTCCAGGGAGTCTTCTCTTCTCATGGGGTGGCCAAAGTATTGGAGCCTCAGCTTCAGGATCTGTCCTTCCAGTGAGCACTCAGGGCTGATTTCCTTAAGAATGGATACGTCTGATCTTCTTGCAGTCCATGGGACTCTCAAGAGTCTCCTCCAGACCAGAATTCAAAAGCATCAATTCTTCGGCGATCAGCCTTCTTTATGGTCCAGCTCTAATAATAATAATAATAATAATAATAATAATAATAATAATTATACCCTTCCCATCTGGCTGGGCTTCCCCAGCCACTCCTGGCAGCTTCCAACAAAATATTAAAATACAGTAATGCATCAAACATTAAAAGCTTCCCTAAACAGGGCTGCCTTCAGATGTCTTCTATAAGTCTGGTAGTTGTTGTTGCTCTTGACATTTTCTCTTCTCCAGTTATGCCTCTTCAAACAAAGATGAGGCTGGTCTGAAGTGCCCGGGCCTTTTAAAATGTAGATTTCAGCGTCATTAGGGAAGTTGAAGTAACTTCTGTCAGGTTTTTTTTTTTTTTAATGATATTTATTAGAAGTTTTAAAAATTACAAAAAAAGGAAAAAAAGAGAAAACAACAAAAAAAATTTAACAGGACATACATTACAATACATAAAGAAAAGAGAACATAAAAAACAATACAACAATACAGCAAAAAAGAACAATAACATTAAAACACACATCCATATTCCATATCTTTATCTTTCATTTACTTGTTTCATTGACCTCCTCACACCTCCCTTTTTGTATTCTAATTCAATTAATTGTTTCAGCAAATTCTTTCCATCTTTCTCAATTTTTATTCTATAATTTATCTTAACGGTCTAACCTATTAATTAACTCAGCAAATCCTTTCCATCTTTCACTGTATTCTGTCATTAAATTACCTTAATTTATTTTAACCTTATCTTACCATAAAAAGCCTTAAAACTTAAACTTAAAACTTAATACTTATTTATACATAACTCCTTATATCATTTCTACTAAAGCCAAATAGTTTCATTCCAACATTTTTCCTAACACTCATTAATTTTACACTATTTCTCAAAATGAATTTTTAAAAACTTTCTTCCAATCTTCATCCATCGTCTCTTCTTCCTGGTCTCGGGTTATGTCAGTCCTTTCTATCCATTCCATCTAGTCCATCAACCTGGTGATCTTCTGTCCGAGGCTCTTAAGTCTTTTCCATGTCCCTTCTGCAGATCTTCTTCTTGTTTATACCTGCACTTTACTTTGTCTTTTGTTGATCTTTTTCTTAATTTCTTTCCTTTCTCATTGAGGAGTAGGTCTCGGGGAGACTCCAACCCAACAATATCTCCATCCCCCCTCGACAGGTCAGCCCACTCTCCACAGTCAGCATTGTAATCCAAAAGGTATTTGAAAGCATGTTTCAAAGTCCCTCCAAAATTAGGAGCCCCCACAACTCCAGACCCCCCCTGGCCCAAAACCAAATCCCAAGAGCCGAAATGGCCCTGCATAGGGGGATCCATCCAACTTCCCATCTCCAAACCAAACAGTACTCCATCTCTCCAAATCTGACCCTCTCCAGGTTCAGTCTTCAAAGACTGCAGCTTATGCTCCTGCAGGGCCTTGGGTCTCTCCATTTGTGTTAGTTGAGGTTCAACAACAGCCTCCTCCATTATCTTCTGCATTTGCCCTGTCAAAGCAGATTCCTGGGTTGGTTCCTGAATGGTTTCTATATGCGTATTCACTGTTCGTCCAAAATTACTGACTGCAACAGTCATCAAATCCATCTTCTCATGCAGCTGCTCCAACAAAGCGCTTGTCTTGCAAAAAGCAAGCACCAAAACTTCTTCTAGGCACATTCTTGTCCAAGGTCAGTCTGGTCTCACGATCCTTAATCTCCACAGCTGTGGAATTCCCCAGATCGACTCCAGCAACAGTTTAACAAGCTCCCTCTAGAGGAGACAATTTCTATTTGTATCCATCTTTTAAAAGCAGGTCCAACAAAAGAAAATTACTTTCGTTTTTCAAATACTTTGTTTCTTTTAAATGCAAAAGGCAACATTGGAATCAATATTATAATGAGTGTGGGGTTGCTCGTGCGTAAGTTGCCGCCTCTCCTGGCTATGTTGCCTTGTTAAACCTTTCTGTCTGGCCAGCCCTTCACTTCGTGGCTGCCTCAGTCGCTAGCAGAATCTGTCAGTGGGCGTTTCTTAAACCTTTTCCAACATAAAAGTTGTTTGACGCCCAGTCTCCTCCTACTCTCCCTGCGCGGAAGCCTTCTGCGCAGGGAGGGGTGGGTAGCGGAGGACCCGTGCTCTCCCCGCTGGTGTCCAGTGAAGAGTCCTGGAGCCCTCTCGCCGATTCCCCCATCTGCCCCCCTTTATCCCTGGTGTGGCGCTGATTTGCTTCCCCCTCTGCTGAGCTGCCTCTCTCCCTGCTGGGCCCTTCTCCAGCATCATTTGAGAGCCTTCCCTCCGCCTCTAGCTCCGATGTCAGTTCCCTGACAAATATGTTTCTCTTTTTTAACTATCTGTCAAAAGACGTTTCATTCACAGTCAATGAACTTCCCCAAAACGTCTGTCTCTGACACCCCGTTCCCAGGTTTGAGACGGTGGAAATTTATCTTTCTTTACTCTCTCTCCTGCAGGCTTAAACAATCTAAAATTCCCCCTCCTCTTCTCCTGCTTCCAAGAGGGGTTTTGGTAGTTTTAACTGAAGAAAATTCAGTCCTTTGTATACGACTTTCCAGACTTTAGCTTGCAAAATTTTGCTTCAATCTATTTACAAAAGCAGAAGGCGGACTTCCTGTTTAGAACCTTCCCGCTTCGGTGCCAAATTAAAATATTTCGTAGTCCAATTTTCTGTTCTACTCACGGATAGTTGTTTAGAGTCCAATTGTCCACAGGAAAAAGTCAGCGCTCTCCGGCAACGGCTGTGCGGCTTCACTCCATAAAAGTAGCGGTTGATTCAAAACACCGTGCCACTCAACCCACTTCGCTTCGGGACCCCGAAAAAGGGTTTCCCCGCGAGTAGGGGAGGCGCTCTTGGTGTCAGCCGAATCCCACGTTCCCAAGCTTCCTCCGCCTGGGATTTTTGAAGGGTCTCCGCCTCCGCCGCGGTGGCAAGACCCGATTTTCGCGGAGCGGGTTCCTCTCGGTCAGAGCAACTCCGCCATTGCCGATGGCGCTAACCCGGAAGTCTGTCAAGTTTTTTGTTTTGGCTTCTGTTAAGTTTTGGTTGACCAGAGAGATAACTGACCATGGACTGGATTCCATGGTTGGGCCAGACAAAACCTCTCCCAGAAGAGAGCCGGGCCTTTGGAATCTCAGGTTCCCATATATATCAGTTAATACCAGTTAACAAAGGCAGTGAAAACTATAGTAAGGCCCCACATCTAGAATTGGGGGCTCAATTTCTTCCTGAGGACCTAATTAGTTTCTCTCTTGGTTTTTGTTTTAAATTTTTCTTGAGTTTTGCTTTACACACATCCACAGAAAGATTCCATCCACAGTTCAAATTAAATCTAAAAATAAACAAATACACAAAAATACATAATAACTAAATATCTTTCCCTCCACCAATTACCCATGATTATTATTCTGAGTTATCAAACCTTGTCTTTTGAGTTGACTTCTGCCCACCACCTCAATTTGAGTCATTCTTTTATTTCCTTAACTGCCTTCTTTAGACGTTCTTCATTTCTTGGTATTAACTTATTTAATTATAGTAATTGTTTTGTCTTTGGCAAAAATTAATCAAAGCATAATAAATATTTTATTTGAGAACAATGTTTTTCTAGGTAATTTTTATAGACTGCCATTCCTTACTGAACTTTTGGCTTGTTCGGTAACTAATTCTTTCTGTCATTTTAGCCAGCTCAATATATTCAAATAACTTTATTTGCCGCTCTTCCTTTGTTGGAATCTCTTCCCCCTCCCGTTTTCTGGCTGTGAGCATTCTTGCCACTGTAGTGGCATATAAAAATATCCTTCTTTTATCGCTTGGGATATCTGATGATAGTAAACCCAAGAGAAATGCTTCGGGCTTTTGGACAAAAGTTTGTTTGAACATTCTTCATAAATACTATCCCAAAAGTTCCTAATTTTCTTACATCCCCACCACATTTGTAACATTGTTCCTTCTGTCTGCTTACACCTCCAACATTTATTAGAATTTGTTTTGTACAACTTTGCTAGTTTACTAGGTACTAAATACCATCTGTAAAACATCTTCATAATATTTTCTCTTAGTGTGTAGCACGCTGTGAATTTTAAATCTCTGATCCACAATTTTCCCCATGCGTCCATCTGTATTGTATGCCCAAAATCTTTTACCCATTTAATCATGACTTCTTTTAGCTCTTCGTCTTTTACTTCCCAATCAAGTAGTATAATCTATACATTTTAGATAATACTGTTGCTTCTATTTTGTATTAATTCTTTTTCTAGCTTTGAATTTTCTGCTGTGAATCCATTTTTCTTATCTACCGGTAATTTTAAAGTTTCATTCAATTGATAATATTGCAGCAAGTCTGTCACATAATGCCTACTTTCTTCGAATTTATTTAACTTCAATTGATTTCCCTCCTCTTCCAATAATTATTAAAGGTTACCCAATTCTTTTCCATATGTTTTTCTTTACCGAAACGGCTTCTAACGATGAAAGCCACCAGGGGTTTTTCTGTTCCAATAGGCCTTTGTAGTTATCCCATACTGTGTATAGTGCTTTCCTTATTATACGGTTCAGAAAACCCCAGTGAACCTTCACCTTTCCGTAACATAAATAGGCGTGTTACCCAAATCTGTTGTCCAATCCTTCCCAATCCAATAATTTCATAATTTGCAAAATTAACCATTCTTTTAACCAGCATAGACATGATGCCTCATAATAAATCTTCAAATCTGGCAGGGCAAAACCTCCTCTTTCTTTAATATCTATAAGTAACTTGTTTTATTCTGGGCCTTATGTCCTGCCAGATGAAGGTTGATAAGTGTCTCTTCCATTCTTTGAAGCATCCTGCCTCGCCTATCACTGGGATTGCCTAAAATAGGAACAACATTTTGGCCAGCACATTCATTTTAATTGTGGAGATTCTCCCCAAAAAAGAGAGATTCAGTCTTTTCCATATTAATAATTTTGTTTATCTCTTTCCAAGTCTTATGTAATTATCATTGTATAAATTTATATTTTTCACAGTGATCCAAATTTCTAAATATTTCCCCCCCCACACACACAATTGATAGACTAGATGATGACTGCAGCTGTAATTTGTCTTGCGCCTCCGTATTTTTAGCCAACAATTTAGTTTTGTCTGTATTCAATTTAAATCCTGCTACCTGGTCAAATCCGTGGATTCTTTCTAGAATTTTTGGTAAACTTTCAAATGGGTCTACTGTTGTTTTTACTAAATCATTTGCATAGGCTTTTAATTTAAAGGCTTTATTTCTTACTCTTATTCCTTTTATCTCTGAATTTTCTCTAATTGTCATTTCCAGTATTTCCAGACCTGTGATAAATAGTAGTGGGGTTAATGGGCAACCGTGTCTGGTTCCCTTCTTTATATTGAAGCGGTCAGATATTTCATTGTTTATTATCAATTTTGCTGTCTGATTTTGATAAATTACCTCTGTGCTTCTCCTAATCCCATCACCTTTATGGTTTTTTTCATAAATTTCCAAGATATATTGTCAAAAGCTTTCTCCGCATCGACAAACATCAAGATTGCCTGCTAGTCTGGTGTCATTTCTAAGTACTCCAATATATCAATGCTTCTTGCCTTGCTTCTGGTCCTTTTCCTTCTTTTAAGATCTTGTTCTTAACTGCTTTTAACGGTATTGCAAGTGAATCTTCTAATTTTTTTGTAATAGCATGCCGGCAGTCCATCTGGTCCGGGAGATTTTCCTGGTTTCGCCTTCCTTGTCACTTGATGGATTTCCATCATTGTTATCAGAGAATTTAAACATTCAATTTTGTCACTTAAAATCCTTGGAAATTTACTTCTAAAAAAAATATTTTTCTATTTTATCACTGTCTTTTTCTGTTTGATATATTTTTTTGAAATAACTTTAATTTTTTATTTATTGCTTCTGGGTCATCAATGTTGTTGTTGTTTAGTCGTCTAGTCATGTCCGCCTCTTCGTGACCCCTTGGACCAGAGCACGCCAGGCCCTCCTGTCTTCCACTGCCTCCCGCAGTTTGGTCAAACTCATGCTGGTTGCTTTGAGAACACTGTCCCACCATCTCGTCCTCTGTCGTCCCCTTCTCCTTGTGCCCTCCATCTTTCCCAACATCAGGGTCTTTTCCAGGGAGTCTTCTCTGGAAAGACTCTTCTTCTTCTTCATCATCAATAACCTTCCCTTTTTCTTCCAGTTTCTCTATAATCCATTCTTTTTGTTTCTTTTGTAGTTACCATGCAAGCAGTCTTCCTGGTTTATTGGTGAATTACAAGTTTTTTCTGTTTTAATTATTTAATCTTTTGTTCAGTTTCTTGATTTATGAGTATAGAAAGTTGTGTTTGTAGCATTTTGATATTTTGTTTCACCGTCTAATTTTGTTGTTTTTCAACAGTTCTTTCTCATTAGTGTATAAAAAAACTCCTCATTACTGCCTTTCCTGTATCCCACACTGTATTTATATCAATTTCTTCACTTAAAATTTTCTACTAACTGAAAAATAGTTATTGGAAGTCTTTCTTATTTGGTTCTTTTTTCTATAGTCATTTTATCTAACTCTAATGAGGGAATGCCATACAGATCTCCCCGTAATACAATTTTTTAAAATTACTATAATCTAGCATTTTCTCAAATAATCTAGGGTTTGCATATATTATCACTCCTCTTTTTTTCATCCTGTCTGATGAGATAAATGCTGAACCCAGTTTTTTATTTATTAAGATTCTTATGTTTTCTGGCAGTGTGTGTTTCTTGCAAACAAATAATGTCCCTTTCCACCCATTAATATGTTCGCTATTTTGTTTCTTTTCATCTTATTGTTCAATCCATTTACAGTCCAAGAAATATATTTTACATTCATCATTTAATTGTAATTTATTTCAATACTTCTTTCAGTAAACAAATATACCAAAAAATGAATGTAAAGAGAAAATTCCAGACACATTCCTAAACAGTAAAACCTTAACCTTAGATTCTCTTCTCTAGTCCTCTTGATCACCTGTTGAGTCTACTCTTTGATCCGCTTTGTCTTTTTGTTGTAGGTGGTGATGAATTGGAAAGGGAGATTGACGAAATCTACACAGTGGATGAGCCATATACATACATGGAATGTGAAGAGAACTTCAGCCAGAGCTCCTATTCTGCTTCCCAGGACATAAATCCCATTGGATTTCTCTATCAATACAACGAATGCATAAATAGCTTCATTTGGCAGGATGGTCTCTCGTCACAGGACACAACGCACAAGGGGGAGAAACCATATCTGTGCTTGACGTGTGGGAAGAGCTTCAGTCGGAAGGACCACCTTGTTTCCCATGAAAAAATTCATACAGGGGTGAGACCCTATCAGTGCTTGGAATGTGGGAGGAGCTTCATTCGTAGTTCCGCTCTCACTTCCCATCAGAGAATTCATACTGGGGAGAAACCCTATCAGTGCTTGGAATGTGGGAAAAACTTCAGCTGGAAGGAAAGTCTCACTTCCCATCAAAGAATCCATACGGGCCACAAACCGTATCAGTGCTCGGAATGTGGAAAGAGCTTTCGCCAGAGGGGCGATCTCACTTCCCATCAGAGAATTCATACAGGGCAGAAACCATTTCACTGCCAAGAGTGCGGAAAGAGCTTCACACAGAGCACTAGTCTCATGCTCCATCAAAGAATTCATACAGGGGAGAAACCGTACCAGTGCTTGGAATGTGGAAAGAGCTTCAGTCGGAAGGACCAGCTCACTTCCCATGAGAGAATTCATACAGGGGAGAAGCCCTATCAGTGCTTGGACTGTGGAAAAAACTTCAGTCGGAGGGTGAATCTCACTTCCCATCAGAGAACTCACACAGGGCAGAAACCATTTCCCTGCTTGGAATGTGGAAAGAGCTTTAGTCAGAGGGTGAATCTTGCTTCCCATCAGAGAATTCATACAGGGCAGAAACCATTTCACTGCCAAGAGTGCGGAAAGAGCTTCACACAGAGCACTAGTCTCGTGCTCCATCAACGAATTCATACAGGGGAAAAACCGTACCAGTGCTTGGAATGTGGAAGATGCTTCCGTCAGAGCACCTGTCTCGCTTCCCATCAGAGAATTCATACAGGGGAGAAACCATTTCCATGTCAAGAGTGCGGAAAGAGCTTCTCACAGAGCACAGGTCTCATTCTCCATCAAATCACTCATACAGGGGAGAAACCATATGAGTGCTTGGAATGTGGGAAGAGTTTCACTCGGAACAACCAACTCACTGCCCATCAAAGAATTCATACAGGGGAGAAACCCTACCAATGCTTGGAATGTGGGAAGACCTTCCGCGATAGGAGCAATCTAACTACCCATGAAAGAATTCACAGCGGGGAGAAACCATTTCAATGCCAAATTTGTGGGAAGAGCTTCACACAGAGTACTGGTCTCATGCTCCATCAAAGAATTCATACAGGGCAGAAACCGTACCAGTGCTTGGAATGTGGGAAGAGCTTCAGTCAGAGCACACATCTTACTTCCCACCAGAGGATTCATACCGGGCAAAAACCGTTTCAGTGCTTCGAATGTGGGAAGAGCTTCAGTCGAAAGGAAAGTCTCAGTTTCCATGAAGCAACTCACATGGGGAGCAACCAGTTAAATGCTAGTGATGTGGAAACAGCTTCAATTTCAGGAGAAGTCTCACTCTCCTTTTAAAAAATCATACTGGGGAAGGATACCAGTGCTTGAAACTTATGCTAAGATGGAAAAAAACAGCAGAAAAACATGCTTGGCCTATCTCAAAAAAGGCCTCTCATGATAAGGACACCTCCCTCTTCTGGAGTACAATATCAGGCCTGCTGGAGAATGCTTGCAATCTTCCAGTATGTACTATCGGACCCAATGAAGGGATCCAATATCCTCATTCACTCTCTCGTGGGCAGGATGATGACGTCAACCAAATAACAGAATCTTTGGAAAACTTTCCATCCTGGCCTCCAGTATCTATAATCGAGGTCAAGTACCTTACTTCACAGTCAAAAAATAATAAAGCACCCGGCATAGACTGTTTGGCCCCAGAACTGTTGAAATCTAACATCGGCTGGTGGGCCTCCCTGCTGGCAGTAATATTCGATTCATCCGGGTTATTTCCTGAAGTCTGGGCCACAGCTGCAGTCATCCCTTTATTCAAAAAGGGCCTTCCATCCGATCCGGCTAGTTATAGACCAATTTGTTTGCTACCTGTAATTAGCAAATTATATGCAAAGCATCTTTACAATAAGATAGCTAATTAGATGGAGCTATTTTTGCCGAAGAGCAAGCAGGAATTAGATAAGGCAGATCCGCTATAGACCATTGCTTAGTACTAGCCTATTTTATAGATAAGTATGTTAAGAAACCAGGTGGTGTGCTATATGCAGCTTTCATTGATCTGAAAGCTGCATTCGATTCAATCTCTCTAGTAAGACTGGGATAAGTTGAACTCTTCAAGTATAGATAAAAGATTATTGTTATTGATTAAATGTCTGTATAAAAACGCTGTGCTGAAAGTGTGTTGCTCTACAAATGGGCAGCTCACAGGATCCGTACCAGCCACAAAGGCAGTTAAGCTTTGTTTAATTTATATATTTAATTTATATATAAATGATATTGTCCAGAGTTTAACATCTCCAGAGGATCATGCCTCTACATTGGCCACAAAAGCCGTTTCTATATTATTATACAGAGATGAGGCGGTACTTCTATCTAGAACAAGAGTAGGCCTAAAAAGATGGATGAGGGCATTCTCAGGATACTGCCGAAGAGAACAGCTGGCTGTGAATTGCAAGAAAACTAAAGTTTCAAGAAATGATAGGGCCCATAGATGGTATATTGATAATAAGTTGATCGAACTAGTTAAAGTCTTTAAATACCTCTGCCTTGTTTTTCAGTCAATAGGGTCATGGGGAGCACATCAGAAATGTGCAAAGGAAAAAGTGTCTCGAAGCGCCAAGATTCTGTAATGCTTTTTCCATACAAAAGGTGGCGATCGCACACCATCAGCCCTTGAAGTGTTTAAAGCTAAACCCCTAGCACAGTTATTATATGGGGCTCGCATTTATAGAAGCTGTTCAGTCTAAGTTTCTAAGGCAGTTTTTTCCCCTGTACAATCCTGTGTTCCAAATTCTTCATTGTGCTTGGAAGTAACCCGTTCTGGTACTTCCAGTTTTTGGCGGTCCGCAACCCAAAAAAACGCAACCTGAAGTGTCTGTGACCCGAGATATGACTGTACAGCCTTCAGCTGTACTTTAGGATCTATTTCAAAAAATTCCACTGGGGAAATGGTGGTGTCCCTGTGGAGATGGCAGTATTGAATCAGTAGCTCGTGCGCTTCTGGTTTGCATTCTTTGTAAAGGTTTGAGGAGTGAGGTTATTGCCCCTCTGTTATTGTCTATGACAAGTCACTCAACCATTGCTCCTGTGTCCTTCTAGCAGATCAAGATAACCAGGTGACAGCAAAAACTGCAAATTTTTTAGCAGGGGCAATTAGAGTAAGATCTATTACAGTCATACCTCGGGATAAATATGCTTCAGGTTGAGCGTTTTCCGGTTACTCTCCACGGCGACCCAGAAGTAACGGAATGTGTTACTTCTGGGTTTCGCCGCTCGCGCATGCGCAGATGCTCAAAATGACATCATGCGCGGAAGCGGCAAATCGCGACCCGCAGACGCGGGTTGCGTTCGCTTCAGGATGTGAACGGGGCTCCGGAACGAATCCTGTTCACATCTAGAGGTACCACTGTATTTGATTATTGATGTAAACTTCCAGAATGTATTTTGTATAGTTAAGTTTTTACCCCTATCTCCAGTCCAATGTATTGTATTTTAGTGCTTGAAATGTGGGAAAGGCTTTATTAAAGGCACAGTAGTCAATGTGGGGGGAAACCGTTTCAGTGCTTGGAATATGAAAAGGAGGGAGAAGCCTGTGGGCTTCAGGCAGAGGGTCAGTCTCACAGCCCATCAAGGAACTTACAGGGGGAGAAACCTTTTTTCTTTTCTTTTTTTTAGAAAAAGCTTTATATTCTCTATTGAAAGTTCAGAAGTACATAATTACAGGTGCACAAAGACACACACAAAAGAAAAACAATACCCATGTAGAAAACAAAACAGAATAACAAAAAAAGTATAAATTACAAAAAAATTAAAATGTTATTGTAGTTAAGTAGCCCTTAATATGGTTCCAGATATCATTGAGCTATCGGAAGTCTACATTTATACACGACTTGTTCACGTGTAGCGAGTTTGTACATATCTTCAATCCAGTTGTGGAAGAGAGCCTCATTTTTATTTTTCCAGTTCATCTGTACCTGTCCTTTTGCCATAGTATGAGTGCAGAGAGTTTGTTCGTATTGTCCCTTAGTTAGATTCCATGTTTTGGGGATATAATTGAAAAGGATGTTTTCCTCTGCAAATCTAGGGTTATTCTTTACAGTTGTGTTGATCATCTCTTATTACCTTCTGCCAAAACTTTAGCAATGTACGACATTGTTCAAACCTGTGTTGCAGAAAAGCATTATCTCTGTTGTATCTCCAGCACCTAGATGTCTTAGATGGTCCTTTCATAAATAAGTGCAAAGGAGCCCAGTAAGTTCTAAATATTATTTTTTCTTTTATGTGCTTTATTTGAGGTCCAGAGATAACACAGTTTCCCATTATTTGGTCAAGATTGGCATATCCCACTCTGTATTTCATTTCTCCTTTATGAACTGTGTATTAAACTGGTTTGCTATAATAAACATTTATACAAGGCAATGGAGGGTCTTCTTTCGTAAGATAAATCAACTGATTTAATACCTCTGGGGTCTCTGAGGCTGTAAAAGTTGCTGGTCTGTAAAGAGCTGTTCCCCAAGTGTCTTCTCTGAAGATATTGCCATTGAGCAGTTAAAGGTTATTCATATTGGTCTGTTAGCATGGAATACGCATAGAATTCACCCTTCTCATCTTGTAGAGTGGTGACCAAGGGCATAATGTCTGCCCCTTTCGTACCACCCAGAGACACTATACAAGACTGCGCACTTTCGCCTTTACTTTTAAATATTCGTTGGGAACCCCTGGCGTTTATTGCCAGACAGCATAATGAAATCTTTGGTGTAAGTAACTCAAATATTGGTAACATTCACAGACGACATTTTTTTGTTTATCTCAAAACCTCACAATGCTGTTCAAGTATTAAGGCCAAATATAGATGTTCTTGGCCTATATCTCAGGATATACTATAGGGACGTGGGTGGCGCTGTGGGTTAAACCACAGAGCCTAGGGCTTGCTGATCAGAAGGTCAGTGTTTCGAATCCCTGCGACGGGGTGAGCTCCTGTTGCTCGGTCCCTGCTCCTGCCAACCTAGCAGTTCGAAAGCACGTCAAAGTGCAAGTAGATAAATAGGTACCGCTCCGGCGGGAAGGTAAATGGCGTTTCCGTGTGCTGCTCTGGTTCTCCAGAAGCGGCTTAGTCCTGCTGGCCACATGACCCAGAAAAACTGTCTGCGGACAAATGTCAGGTCCCTCGGCCTATAGAGCGAGATGAGTGCACAACCCCAGAGTCCCTGACTGGACCTAACGTTCAGGGGTACCTTTACCTTTATACTATAAATCTAAATCAGAGTTGATGGTAATAGGAATTTAAGGGGGGGGGATTCAACTGTTCAAACAACACCAATTTTGTTATTCTATAGGCAACATTAAATATGTAGGCACAGCAATGGGTGTTTCCTAATTTAATTTTCAGAGATCTGGAATTATCTGCGAGCAAGGATGGGCACAGAGCTCTTGTCCTTTGACAACTCAGCAGAGAAGTTGACATGGCCTCTCCCACCCACCGTAACCCTGGCAAACCCCCCCCCCACTTGATAGTTTCCATGTCTGGGCTATCAACACCACCTTTGTCAGGCCCTCTGGGCTGGTTGCCCTAAACGTAAGGCAGCTGCGTTTGGTGTCTCCCCTTAATACTCTGAATATTAGCGAATATTAGCGGAATTATCCCATTTGCTAAACTGAGAATTTGGGGGGATCTGCCCTTCCCCCATTCATAACAACACAAGGTACCCCCAATAGGCAACAGAAAATAATGCCCCCCAACCACACTGCCCTGCATTTTGCCAGAAAAAGGGGCACCCCTGGCCAGAGCCAGTCTTCATTTGCACACATCGGACACAAGGAGGAAGATTAAGCTGGAACTGAGATTCAGAACAACACGCCTTCCCCCAGGGGCAGAGTCTGACACCTATTCCCAGGCCATGGGGACAGCGGACCAGATCTTGACCAGAGGAAACTTTTTGCCAGTATTTCACATATATTCCTAAAGCCTTTAGAGGTCAAAAGCAGCCCTTTGACCTGGACCCACAAACCGGTTGGCAGCCAGAGCAGTCAGGCCAGGATCGGTGGAATATCTTCAATAAGCCATATTCCCCCAGGGAGCAGCCTGGCCTCTGAATTCTGCACCAGCTGAAGTTTCTGCACCGCCTTTGGAGACAGAGCTCTGTGTTAGGCATAGCAGTAGTCTAACCTAGAGGTTGAGTCTCACCTAGAGGTTGCCAGAGCAGAGACTACAGAGGTCCAGCTCTCCTTGCCCAGATAGGGGCACGTCAGCAAAGTCTAGGCAACACGATGACCATGTACATACGCAATAAACAATATAGGATTCCTTCAAACCATAACAAGTACAAAATGAAATCTTTAGTCTCAAAGCCTCTGAAAATCTTTAATTGAAGCGAGGTACCAGACATTGTACAATGAAAGACAAATGGGTATTCAGCCAATACGATGTCCAACACTGAACAGAGATGCCAGATATTGAATCCTGTTTCATAGAATTCTTTGTCAGCGTGGTGGGAGGATATAGAATAGCTTCATCAACCCATCTTACTTCAAATGAATGTATGCAAATGAAAATATCAAATGCTGTGGAACAGTGCTCATGTAATAATGCAGTCACAGATGGGGCACAGCTGGGCCACCAGCCGAAGCTGATGGACCGCAAAGGATCCAGGACTGGCCCCAAGCCACTGACCAGCTTCTCTGCAAGGCAAGACCCGGACGGCTCCAGCACATCCGTGGCCGCCTGGAGGAGAGTTGCGTGGCCTCAGGTGCCTTACTCAGGGCTTGCTCACACTCACATGCACGCTCCCTCCCAGGCCGAAACTGCAGAGGGCTCTGGGCGCAAGGAGAAAGGCTTGGGTGAGGGGAGCAGGATCCTTCTGGATCCCTCTCCACAAAGTGGGTTGGATGTTTCGCCTCCCCTGACTTCTCTCTGATGGCTCCTAAATCAGAATGGGGTTTATTGGATGCTGCTTTCTCCCTGACCCCCAGACCCCTCGCCAAGGGGGCAAGCAGCGTCTGGACCCAGATGATGAGCGGAGCTCCTGCAAACTCATCCCCCTCCCTGGCTTGGCAGAGAGGAAGGGGGCAGCACCCTCTGCTCCCTGAATTGGGGGTTGCCCCAGGCAGCCCTGAGATTCTCCCTTCTCCCAATGCACTCCTCTCTGCCTCCGGACCCAAGGCGACCTGAAGACAACAACGAGGACATGGGGGGGGGGGGAGAGTGACAGGCCAGGGGGAGGGAGGTTTCTGCTGAGGGTGGGGGTCCCTCCGTCAGGGATGCTGGAGCTGAGCTTCCTGCCTGGCAGGGGGTGGACTAGATGCCCCTCAGGCTCCCTTCCAGACTCTCCCATGCTCTGCTTCTAGTGAGGGGTCCCCTGCTTCTTGGGGGGGGGGTGTCTCCCAAATGAAGAATCTCTGGGAGGGGCATTCCTCTCGGGCTCCTGCCTTGGAGGAGGAGAGAGTGGGGCTCCAGTTGTGCTCAGCCTGCCAAGGGTTAAAAGGAACAGAGCTGGATTTCAAATCCAGCAGAGATTATCTTTTGATCCATAAAGTCAAACAGTTTTGGTGTTGTTGTTTCATGTTCCTTTGTGCAACTTGAATTTCTTAGGTTCCATTTCTATATGGAGTGTAGCTACTTCTGTATCAAAGCATAATATATTTTAAGATGTAATGTTAACGGTAGAAATGTACCATTTCATCCACAGTGAGCTTCACTGCTAAAGTATCATAAATTTTGTTTGGGGAATTCAAGGAGGCGGGGAAATCATTAAACTGCTGGCACGAGTTTAATGTTGTTTGGAGACCAGAACTCCCAGGAATTTCATATTAGCTATGTGTTTGTGTGTGTTCAGCACACAGAATTGTAGGTGAGATTGAATAAAATGCGTCCCAGGAAATTCACTTTGACTTCTTATTCATTGTTTCGAATGTGACTTCACTTACAGATGAGAATGGACCATGTTGATTGCTGAATAATTACACCATCGTCCCCTCATTAATTTGAACAAGCCCTTGAGCATGAATAAAAGAGGCACAGCTCTGAACCTGTCGCCACTCATATCATGCTCTAGGATGCCATTGATATAGGGGGCTTAACGTACGCCTGGTGGAATCGGCGTTGGGAATTCCATTCCACCCTTGCTGCAGATATGTGGGACTGTTACATGTCACGTGTCTGTTTACATTTGAGCACAGATTGCTGGAGTCTGTGAGCGGAACATCCGCTCTGTATTGCTTTTGTTTTTTTCTCAGCAAGGAGAGAAGCCATGTTTTCTTTGTCCTGATTTATGTACAATAAACGTAGTCTATTATCCACGCCTCGAACCAGATCTGTTGTGTGTTTACTCTGCTGAGTAACGTGTGCTCATGCAAGCACAGCAGCATGATGTGTGGATGCACGTCAGAGGATGACTGATGGATCTCCACAGCGGCAAGGCTGAGAAGGGAGACCCATGCCAGCTGGCCTTCCGTCCCACAGCTCCGACAATCGGGACAACCAGCGGGAGACAGTGGCGTAGAAAGGGAAGCGGTGGGGGTGAGCCGCCCGGGTGTCATCATGAGGGGGGTGACAAAATGCTCAACGTTTCCGAGCACAATTCAAAGTGTTGGTGCTGACCTTACAAGCCCTAAACGGCCTCAGTTCAGTAGACCTGAAGGAGCGTCTCCACCTCCATCGTTCAGCCTGGACACTGAAATCCAGCGCCGAGGGCCTCCTGGCGGTTCCCTCATTGCGAGAAGTGAGGCTACAGGGAACCAGGCAGAGGGCCTTCTCGGTGGCGGCGCCCACCCTGTGGAACACCCTCCCTTCAGATGTGAAGGAAATAAGCAGCTATCCTATCTTTAAAAGACATCTGAAGGCAGCACTGTTTAGGGAAGTTTTTAATATTTAATGCTGTACTGTTTTAACCCTTGATTGGGAGCCGCCCAGAGTGGCTGGGGAAACTCAGCCAGATGGGTGGGGTATAAATAATAAATTGTTGTTGTTGTTGTTGTTGTTTGTTGTTGTTATCAATGCACCCACTCCCAGCCCCCGAATGAAAGCAGCAGCTTTGGGCAAACAAGGCCACCCCGCCCCTTCCGCCGCCAGCTGTTGCTCTGGTGGGAAAGGAGAAGCAGGGCAGGGGCAGTGGGGGTGGGGTGGAGGTTGAGGCTGGGGAGAGGTCAGCGCGAGCCCGAACCTCCAGGACACCAACCCTCGAGCCCTTCTCCGCCTCAGGGAGGCCATGTGACGGCTGGCTGTGTCATGAAAACAGGGCTGAGTTCCTTTTACCTTTATCAGAGCGTTTTCAAGAAAGACAAACATGATGCAATTCTCTTCAGATTACAACCCTTTATTGATTATCAAGTAATAAGCAATAAAGACTCAATCATTCATCACTCATACATTCCTTTCATACCTGCCAGATGGCTGGACCCACTAAAAGATGGCCAGTCTCTTC